TAATTTTTTAATTCCCTCCACACTGTACAGCGGAAATTCAAGCCTTAAATGTGTAAGGAAACTGTCTCAATTTAAAATATATGCAGGTGGTGCGATGATAAGGCGAACATCCCGGACTGGCTCTGTGAGGTATGGCTCTATTTCAGTCATTAAAGTAAGTGCTGATCTACTGATGTTTTTATGAATTCATTTCTAAATGGGCATTATAAATAGAGCTTGTTCATTTTTAAGAATTAAACGTTCATATGATGAACTGTCTCTTTAAGTTGCCTTTCTTGCTTCATATAATTTTTCCCCGTCTGAATTCGTAGCGTTTGAAACTGTGCTGGGCTGGCTTCCCTCGGACTCCGCTTTCGCCTTCTCAGCCTCCTGGATGTGGTGCCTGAGATTTCTTCGCTTCAGAGCTGTGTTTTTACGGGCAAGAGTAAGTTTCTGGGCGCAGTGGCTCGTGCCTGCAGTCTCAGCTGTTCACGAGGCTGAGGTGGGAGGATCATTACAGCCTGGGAAGTCGGGGCTGCAGTGAGCTGTGACTGTGGCCACTGCACTCCAGCCTGCGCGACAGACCAAGACTGTCTTAAAAAAAAAAAAAAAAAAAAAAAAAAGTAAGAGCTGAGGCAGATAATAGAATTCTGCTAAAGCACTTAAGGTGAAATAACATTTTCTTTTCCCAGGAAATTGTTCACATCTTTCGTTTTTATTGAGTTATCATTTACATACAATAAAATGCACTCATTTTAAGCGTTTTCAAATTGTGGCAAATGAAGCATGAACAGAGGCAGAAGGACACAGGACATTTTCATCACCCAAAGGTTCTCACGCCCCTTCTTCGGCCCCTCCACCCTCTCCTAAGCACCCTGTGTGGGTGGGTTTTGCCTCTTCTAGAGTTCGATGCACGTGGAGGCCTGCAGCGTGTCCGTATTTGTGCGCTCCTGCTTCTGTTCCCTGATCCCCACTTACACCATCTCCCGGGTCAGGGCGGCCCCTTGCTAGTATCTTAAGCACTGGACTGTTTGCGGAGAGCTCGAGGGTTGGAAAACCTTAAGCGAGAGGAAATTGACTGCAGTGAGAAGCAGGGCTCCAGGCGGGGAGAAAAGCTAGGAGGTGAAAGGCTGTTCTAGAACAGTGGGGGTCTCCCTTCAAGCCGAATGTTGGAGAAGACGGAGCCTTGGCTGGCGCGGTGGCTCAGCCCTGTAGTCCCAGCACTTTGGGAGGCTGAGGCAGGTGGATCACCTGAGCTCAGTTCAATAGCAGCCTGGCCAACATGGTGAAATCCCTGTGTCTACAAACATACAAAAATTAGCTGGGCATGACGGCGGGCACCTGTAATCCCAGCTACTTGGGAGGCTGAAGCGGGAGAATTGCTTGAACCTGGGAGGCGAGGTTGCAGTGAACTGAGATTGCGCCATTGCACTCCAGCCTGGGCGGCAGAGCGAGACTCCCATCTCAAAAAAAAAAAAAAAAAATGGATCCTTTATGTGAACACACCCTCGTCAGGATTCTCAATCACGCATTTTCCCAGGAAGCCCAGCTGTTGGTGTCCGGGTTTGTCCATTTAGAAAGGGCTCTGCCTGTGGCTGAGTGAGATACACCTGGACACGTGTGATTTTTCCAGTGTGCCCTCTTTTTACAGGCACAGATGTATTTATTGCTATGGCGTTTCTGACTAGGATATTAATAAATCAGATTATGAATTACTGCACTTCGGTGTGGCTTCAAGCTGGGTAATGTGTTGGCATTTTCAAGGCACTTCGTTTATCCCTGCTCGGGGTGCACGTCACGCTGCGGACCACGCAGGCCACCCCATGAGAGGCTGCCAGGCTTGTGGGCACCTCACCCTCGTTTCTAAGGCGGAGGCGCGGACCATCCAGGAAACGTCCAACCTTGTTCCATCTTGCTCCAGATTCAACATCTTATCCCAGTGCGGTCCTGGCCCCAGGATACTTTTCCCGGTTTGGAATGTAGCTGTTGAAGGCTCTTCACTCCTGTGGGGTTTCGGTTCCTCACTCCCGAAGAGTGAATAGGTCATCTCCTTTATGATTTTTTATTTCTCTTCTTGACCATCCGTTTCTTCATCCTGTTAACTAAAAGATGACACCATTTATCAATTTAGAAAAGGAAATACAGATATATTTTTTCTGTTTTTGAGATGGAGTTTCATGTTGCCCAGGCGGGAGTTCAGGGGCATGATCTCGGCTCACTGCTGTAAGGCTGGTTGCCTCGCCGGGAGCTCGGACAGGCCCATCCCGCTCCGCGCTGGGCACCAAGCCCGCCCTTGAAACACCCCTCCAAAGTTTGAAAGAATCCCCGCCAAAACCTGCCCAATAGCATTAGGCCCCACTTCCCCTGGGCAGGCCGCACTCCGGAAGTCCCGCTTACCGGAAGTCCCGCCTACCGGAAGTCCCGCCTGCCCATGCCCCAACCAGCCCGCCTACCGGAAGTCCCGCCCGCCCACCTGTAGCCACCGCTTCATCTACATCCAGTTTCTCTGCAGCCAACGAAATTGCCTTCGCTTTGTTTCCCAATGACCAATCAATCGTCCCCGCTCCCTATAAAAGCCTAGGCCGTGGGCAGTCGAGTGCGGCTTCCCGGCTCCTCTCCGCAGGACGTGGAAACGCCCGCGAGTTGAACTAATTGGCATTTAATTTTCTTACGCTGGTCTCAGTTTCCTCATTCTGAACTCAGCACTAACCCTTAACAACTGCAACCTCCGCCTCCTGGGTTCAAGCAATTCTGCCTCGCCCTCCCGAGCAGCTGGATTACGCAGGGCGCACCACCACACCCGGCTGATCTTTTGTATTTTCAATAGAGACAGGGTCTCACCATGTTGGCCAGGCTGGCCCTGAACGCCTGACCTCAAGTGATGCATCCGCCTCAGCCTCCCAAAGTGCTGGGATTACAGACGTGAGCCGCCATGCGTGGCCTAAAGACAAATTTCTTGTGAAGAGCTACAGTCTGCAAAGTGGCATCTCGCAGGCCGGGAAGCACAGCCTCCCGCGGAGACCCGAGACCGGCACCCGGAGGAGCAGGGGCTGGGGCGGGAGCTTCCTGCGGAAGCCGGTGGATGAACAGACACGTTCCACGGGTGGCGGGAGGAGCTCTGAGTATTGGCGAGGTGGTTCTGACGCGTGCGTATTGAACACACATGCACGTGGCATCCGACCCTGTTCCCCCTGGAGAGGGGACTCAGCGTCGAAGTGCGTCCCGGGCAGGCCCTGCGCTCCCAGCGGTGAAGCAAGGCCAGGAGGGCGCCCGGCGCGCAGCCTCCGCAAACCGGCCCGTCCGCGGGCTTACTTTTGTCGGGAGGAAGTGACTGAGATCGGTCTCTCGTTCCGTCAAAGCTGTGGTGACGGCTGGCGGAGCAGGGGCCGGTCAGCCAGCGCTGGGCGGCGGATAAGCCGCAAGTTGTTTTCATCTTGTCATCTCAAGGCCAGCGCTGGGTCAGCTGGTGGAGAAGGAAACCCTCGTGGCGGTGAGGACAGTTTCTTATTTAAGCGCCGGGTGGGAGACTGCACCCTCGCCTGGCAGGGCCTCAGGTCCTGTGTCTGATTTGGTGTCTTATTGCCACAGTCTGTTCTGTGGTCTCGCCGTCTCAGTTTTAACATGAATGCTGGCCCGTTGTGTCTAAACCCCCAAAGGGAGGGTGTACAGGGAGGCGTGTCTGACCTTCCGGCCCGTGGTGCCTGGGAACTCGGTTTTTAAGGTTTCTAGGGGGTCTTCTTGGCCAAGGGGGTCCATTCAGTCAGTGGGGGGCTACGATTTTACTTTAAATTTGTGATCCTCATCATTCAGCGTAGAAGAGCTGGACAGACCCCCAAGAGGCGCCGCTGGCCTCTGAGCAGCGGCTGTCGGTGGACGACCTCCTTAGCCAGGGCCCCAGGGACGGTCCCTGCGTGTGAGCTGATGGAAAACGAGCATGACAAGGCCTCCTCCATCAGCTCACAGCCCTCAACTCTCCATTTAAAAAAAGCCTAAAGTGACCTCTTCCAGAAGGAAGGAGAAGACAGATTCCTCATCACGCTGGAGCTGGGGGAAGCCAGGGAGGAGCTGGGTCCCCGGGACTGCCTGCCTCGCTTGGTTTCTGTCGTCCCCATTGCTCGTTTTTTTTTGTTTGTTTGTTTGTTTGTTTGTTTTGAGACGGAGTTTTGCTCTTGTTACCCAGGCTGGAGTGCAACGGCACGATCTCGGCTCACCGCAACCTCCGCCTCCTGGGTTCAAGCAATTCTCTTGCCTCAGCCTCCTGAGTAGCTGGGATTACAGGCATGTGCCACCATGCCCAGCTAATTTTTTGTATTTTTAGTAGAGACGGGGTTTCACCATGTTGACCAGGATGGTCTCGATCTCCTGACCTCGTGATCCACCCGCCTCAGCCTCCCAAAGTGCTGGGATTACAGGCTTGAGCCACCGCGCCCGGCTTTTTTTTTTTTTGAGACGGAGTCTCGCTCTTGTTACCCAGGCTGGAGTGCAATGGCGCGATCTCGGCTCACCGCAACCTCCGCCTCCTGGGTTCAGGCAATTCTCCTGCCTCAGCCTCCTGAGTAGCTGGGATTACAGGCACGAGCCACCATGCCCAGCTAATTTTTGTATTTTTAGTAGAGACGGGGTTTCACCATGTCGACCAGGATGGTCTCGAACTCTCGACCTCGTGATCCACCCGCCTCGGCCTCCCAAAGTGCTGGGATTACAGGCTTGAGCCACCGCGCCCGGCCGGCTTTTTTTTTTTTTTTTTTTTTTTTTAAGACAGAGTCTCACTCTGTCGCCAGGTGCCAGGCTGGAGTACAGTGGCACAATCTCGGCTCACTGCAACCTCCACCTCCTGGGTTCAGGCAATTCTCCTGCCTTAGCCTCCCGAGTAGCTGGGACTACAGACGTGCGCCACCATGCCCAGCTAATTTTCATATTTTATTAGAGACGGGGTTTCACCATGTTGACCAGGATGCTCTCGATCTCTTGACCTCGTGATCCACCCGCCTCAGCCTCCCAAAGTGGTGGGATTACAGGCGTGAGCCACCATTCCTGGCCTGCTCGGTTTTTAAGAGAAAACTTAATCTTGTCCTCTGGCCATATGGGTACAAACCACGCATTCTAATTTTTGATTAGAAATTATAGCTACTACGTTCACTTATTGCATCAGATTGTTAAAATATACACAGATGGCTGGTCCTACACAATGAGCAGATGCTTTGTACATGGAGCTCACGTTTAGCCTCACGTCTGATCACGGCTTCCATCCACCGGGACGGGCAGATTCTTTCCGGGGGCCTCCCCTGGCTGTCTCGCACTGTGAACGCCACCCCTGCCTCCCGCCCACACCGCTGCGACCCGGCTCACAGAAACCCACACTCTCCTTCCAGCCCAGCGAGCTCAGGGCGCCGGACGGCCACACTGCCCACGCTGCCAGAGTTCACCCAAGACTTTGGAGGAAATGTTCGTTCTTAAATTTGTGTCAGTAAGCCAGGCAGCTTTCCGGCTTCCCTAGAAGTAGTGGTCCTGTGGATCGTGGGCTTCGTTCTTTACCTCCTTCAATAAAAAGGAGCAGTGGAAAGGCCAGCCGGGCTGCAGCGGGCGCCTGACTGCACCAAGTGGCTGCCGACTGGCTGATTTGCAGGAGATTAAACCCAATTCCAGATGAAGGGGTCTCCTGTCTCTGCTCGCGTCTGTCACGTGTGCAGGTGCGTCTGTGTGCGTGTGGGTCTGCTTGTGTGTGTTAGGCACACTCCGAACGAAGACACCACCTAAATAGGCTTCGTGCGAGCAACAGAGCTGTGTGTTCACCCGGGTGCGGGCGAGCTGAGTCTGAAAAGAGTCCGCAGAGGGCGGTGGGACAGGAGTTGGTTTCATAGGTTTGGGGTAGGCCGTGGAAAGTTACAGAAGTAACAATTCAGGGCGGTTTTTGCAAGCTGGGGTGGGGGGGTGTCACTGTGAGGGGTTGTCACAAGGTCCAAGGTCCGGTGTCACAAGGTTGGCTTATCAGTTGAGGCAGGAATGGTCAAGGCAGCAGCAACGGTGGAGTGTCGCAAGGTCGGTTAATCAGACGCTGCAGGAGCTAGCCGTCCTTTTTTCTGGAGGCCCACCTGCGGCTCACAGGGTCGCCATGCTGTAGTCCCCGGTGCAGTCGGTTCAGAGAACCGTGTAGTGTGCACGCCTGCAGCGGGTGCTCCTGTGAGCTCTCCGGAGAGCCCGGGAGGCCGGCGGCTAGGAACTGCGGGGCGTCAGCAGCCGCTCCGGGCTCCGCGACCTTTCTTTCCCCGCCTGTCCCCCCAGGAGGCGGCACGTGAGGGACTCACTGCGGACGTGCTGCTGTGCGTCCACGCGGGGATCGCTGCCTCTACTGACGAGGTGTTTCCTGGTTACGCGGTGAAGGGGCAGCTTCAGACGTTTCATTCTCATGGCAGCTCTGGCGGCTAACACGGGCTCCCTTACCTGGGCCGGCTCCTCGGTTCCCGAGAGGAGGCCTCTGCCGGCCAATCAGACCCCTCGGTTCCCCGAGGGGAGGCCTCTGCCGGCCAATCGGACCCCTCGGTTCCCCGAGGGGAGGCCTCTGCCGGCCAATCGGACCCCTCGGTTCCCCGAGGGGAGGCCTCTGCCGGCCAATCGGACCCCTCGGTTCCCCGAGGGGAGGCCTCTGCCGGCCAATCGGACCCCTCGGTTCCCCGAGGGGAGGCCTCTGCCGGCCAATCAATCAGACCCCTCAGTTCCCCGAGGGGAGGCCTCTGTCGGCCAATCGGACCCCTCGGTTCCCCGAGGGGAGGCCTCTGCCGGCCAATCGGACCCCTCGGTTCCCCGAGGGGAGGCCTCTGCCGGCCAATCAGACCCCTCGGTTCCCCGAGGGGAGGCCTCTGCCGGCCAATCGGACCCCTCGGTTCCCCGAGGGGAGGCCTCTGCCGGCCAATCAGACCCCTCGGTTTCCGAGAGGCGGCCTCCGTTGCTGCGTGGCTGTGAGTTATGCAAGTCACCGAAGCAAACCATCCCGCGCGGCCGGGCGAGGGGCGGACGGCAGCCCCGGAGCTGAGGATGACTTCCCAGCGCGGGCTCCTCGCGCGTTCCCAGAGCCTGGTGTGCGGTGCCAGAGCCACGTGGGTGGCTGGATGGCTGGAGCCTGGTTCCCGTCACACGGACCAGGAATGCGGCATTTCCGTGCGATCTGAAAACAGCCGTTTGACGGAAAGCCGTTTCCTGTAGAAAGGCTGACGCGGCGGCTTCGGGAGGCCTCTGACCGTGTGGTGAGTTACGCAGTGAGAACTTGTGAAAACGATGGGCACGGTGGCTCCCGCCTGTAATCCCGGCGCTTTGGGAGGCCAAGGCGGGCAGGTCACCTGAGGTCCGGAGTTCGAGACCAGCCTGGCCAACAGGGTGAAACCGCGTCTCTACTAAAAATGCAGAATTAGCCAAGCGTGGTGGTGGGCGCCTGTGGTCCCAGATACTCGGGAGGCTGAGGTGGGAGGATCACTTGAGCCCAGGAGGCGGAGGCTGCCGTGAGCCGAGGTCCAGCCTGGGCGACAGAGAGACCCCGTCTCAAAAAACCCCAAAAATCAAACAAGCAAAAACTTAATTCAAAAAGAAAATCTCGCATTGGAAAGATGTGAGGGTGGAAGCGGAAGGACGTGCTCGCGGGCCTGGGGGTGAGGCGCTCTGGGATCTCCCGAAGGAGGGGACCGCGGAGTTAGGCAGGGGTGGCACCGAATGCGTCCTCATTTTAGAACCTGGCAAGGAAACAAAGCGAGAAAGACAAGATGCAAGAAACAGGCCGGTGGCCGTTCTGCCTGTTGGAGAAGACTCCGCCCTGCGATTTCTGCAGGGTGTCCGGCCAGCCCAGCCTCTCCTGCCCACAGCTGCCGGGGGTCCCCACGTGGCACCGCCGCCCCATCCCTCATCCCAGGGAGAACCAGGAGCCCCTGGAGGCGGCCTTGACGTGAGTGGCCCTGAGCACTGACAGGTGTGTACAGGGGCTGAGCAGCAGGTACTTTCTGAATCTCAAGGGAGGACCTGCAGCCCGTGAGCACTTCGAGGGCCAGTGGAGGGAGCGCCTGCCAGCCGTGTGGGAGGACTCAGGGATGCGGCTGGGCCGAGGCCAGTAGCTGCAGGTGCACGGCCAGCGAGCTGGGCTCTTTCCAGCAACGCTCTCAGGAGACTCTTTGGGGGTTTCTTTTCTCCCTCATTCTCTGATGAAGATGCTGGGCGCGCTGTGCGTCTGATATCTGAGAAGGGCTTGCCTCCCGTGTGCCGGACGCGGGGCCAGCGCTGGCGATGAATGGGGCTGTGCAGCCAGTTCATCCGGAGAGTCCCTTTGTACACATCTCTCTCTCTCTCTCTTTTTTTTTTTTTTGAGATGGAGTTTTGCTCTTGTTGCCCAGGCTGGAGTGCAGTGGTGTGATCTTGGCTCACTGCAACCTCTGCCTCCCGGGTTCAAGGGATTCTACTGCCTCAGCCTCCCGAGTAGCTGGGCTTACCGGTGTCTACCACCACGGCCAGCTAATTTTGTACTTTTAGTAGAGACGAGCTTTCTCCATGTTAGTCAGGCTGGTCTCGAACTCCTGACCTCAGATGATCGGCCTACCTTGGCCTCCCATAATTCCATAGTGCTGGGATTATAGGTCTGAGGCACTGTACCCAGCCCTTTGCTCACATCTCTTTTTATGTGTGTGTTGAGACTGAAAATAAAGTCTGGAACCAGGGTGTCACAGAAGCGGGTCACAGACACACAGCAGGTACAGCATGGGTCTCATGGGGAGCTCCCAGCAGAGACGCAGGAGAGCACGTGCAGTCCCCCGACTCAGCCTAGGTGCAGCAAGAAATTCATTAGGGGATCTCTGGTCCTGGGTGCCACCCGGGAGCATGCACGTGCAGGGCCACTGGCCAGCGATGGCCCTGGGATGGCCTGACCGGTCAGCAGTGCTGACAGCAGGGGCTGGCTCAGTTACCATAAGGGGGAAACAGAGGCTCTCCAGGGCCTCCTGGGGCCTGCACCCTGAGGTCTTCAGTCCCCCGGAGATGGAGGGGAGGTGGCTGAGGGGCCTGCAGCACAGGGCTCCTTCCCTGAACCTTGCAGTCTGGGGGGTCTCTGACTCTTGGAGCTGAGTGACAGGTGGGGATTTTTGCCCCTCTAAGTGTCTGTGGATGATAAGCTCCCAGCTGATGCTCCAGGCCTGTGTCTGTACAGTGCATGCTCTGAGGAAAGCTGGCGTGTGAACTGATGCATTAACAGGTTCTGTAAGGGTGGGAGTCTGCATGTGCCCTCGCGGGACAGCCATGGTGCCAGGAGCGGCTGGAGGCCGCGGGGGCTGTGCTTAGGTTCGCTGACCCCAGCAAGCTCTTCCCCAGGTGGTACCTGTCAGCAGCGCAATGTGAAGTTCCGTGTGTGTGTAACCACACGTGGGGCCCAGAGCTATCCCCAGGGCGGGCCTGGAGTTTTTCTGGCATCACGTAAAAGCACCCGATGAATATTGGGACGGACTTCCGGAAGAAGCTGGAGAGAGTTTCTCTCTCCCTTTCTGAAAAGTAGACGTTAAGATCAGCACATGACAGAAATCTGGATCGCTGGGGAGAAGACGTGGGCCGGTCTCCCCAGTGCCCCAAATCCAGTGAAATGACAGCAATTAAAAAAAAAATTGTGTTGCTTTTAAAAATACACCCACCCGTTTCTGACGCTCTCCCTCCTTCTCTCCTCCCCCTCAGCATGGTCTCTCTTGCTCACTTGCTTCTAATGAATAGGAAGTGGCTGAGGTGGCCGTGGGTGGCCTCTGTTGACATATGGTTTCCTGCTTGGCTTCGGATACTGCGTGCTGGGGAAGCTGGCTGCCGGCACGCTCACGCAGCTCTCTGGGAAGGTCTCTGCTCACAGTGCTGCTGGCCCGCCAGGTGTGTGAAAGGTTCTCCAGCCCCAGTCGAGCCTTCAGATGATGCAGCCCCAGCCATCACCTTGAGGGCAACCTCAGGAGAGCCCTGGCACTGCCCAGCTAACCCAGAGACCGCAGGCGAGAAGGTATGTTCCTGTTGTAAGGCCTCGGAGTGGATAGGGGAGGACAGGCAGGCTGGAGGTATTGCAGCGGGGGGTGCATTCTGTTCCCGCCCCTCAGGCTCTGCCCACCCGCAGGGCAGAGGCTGCCAGCCTGCTGTCCCATCCTGCACGGTGCCCAGGGCACCCGGCTCCTGGGGTACACTCAGTTACTGAGCAGGTTAAAGGGACTCGGAAGCAGGACTTCTAGTCCCAGGGAACCTGCAGAGTCCACGAGCCCCGGGAGGCCCTGGGAGCAGCCCCGGGAGGGAGGGCTCTGGCTCCCTGTCCACCTGGGGCTTTGCCTAGAATTGCCATTCCTGTTTGCCCAGGAGTCCGACTCTGCTTTGAAACGTTGTGACACGATCTCTTCTGTGTTAACTGGGGCTCTTTTTGTTGCAAGCGCCAGAAGCTCAATGTGGAGGAGCCTGGGCCTGGGGACTCCTGCCCTGGGGACTCCTGCTCTGGGGGCTCCTGCTCTGGGGGCTCCTGAGGCAGAGGCAGCCACCCTTGGGCAGTGCCTGTGCCTTTCCGCAAATGGCTTTACTCTACTGCCAACAGGACGTCTGCTCATGGTGGGACACAGTGTCAGAATCTCAGAGACTCACTTCTTCCACTACACAGGGCAGTGACTTCAGCCACCAGCCCTGGTCCCTAAGGCTCCAGGAGAGGGTCTGTGGGAGCAGACCCGGGCCAGCGGCTCTGACGGGTACGGGATTGTGCAGTGCAGGTGTGGCTGTCGGCAAAGGTCTGCGGTGCTCAGGCCACTGCCGGAGCATGTTCAGGTCAATTTATCTCACGCCACAAATCCTGCTTGCCCAAAGTAAAAATGGAGCTTGTGAGGTTAGCACAGTGGACATTTGCACAACTATGGGACAGACAAGGCTTGAACTTCATTCCGCCTTTATTACTCTGGTAGAGAACCCTGTCTTTCTAGGTTTTGAAAACATCTCTACCCCATTGCAAGTGACCAGGAGGGACTTCTGGGCCTCACCCGCCTCCTACCGCAGTGAGTCACTAGCACTGCTGCGATGCCCTGTGGGCTGGGTCAGGGCTCCCGAGTGCTCTGCCTGCTGTGATGTGGGAAGCTCTTCTATGCACTGTGTCTCTCAGTGAAACTCATCCCACAAGCCCCCTGGGAGAGCTGCTTTTGTCACCTGAGTGCCAAAATGCATAAGAAAGTGGCAGTTGGGTCCTTAGGATGCCACACTCCAGTGAGGGGAGCAGAGGATGGAGCAGCGTTATGGCCAGGGGAGGGGTCCAGGGGCTCCGGGTGAGACAGCTGCTTAGAGAGAGGGGTCGGGTGGATGGCTGAGGCAGGTCACTGTGGGCTCACTGACCCCTGTCCTGCCCTGACCAGATTTGCTGTGACCACCTGGCTATGCCCATGGGGCTGAGGCCTGCAGTCCAGCCATGGCAGGTTGCAGAGAACATCTGGGACACCCTGGGAGCAGGTGCTGCTCCTGAATCATTCCATGTTCTGCTGTTTCCTGCCTTGGAAAGTGATGATTTTTCAAAACGTTCTCTTAAATGCAGTGGGGGCAGCGCACTGGAAGCATCCAGGCATGAAGACAGCGCCCAGGTCAGTGGGGCTGGAGGAGCTGGGCTGGGGTGCTGGCAGCAGGAGACTGTGCTCCCACCGCGGTCTGTCCCTGGCGTGAGCAGAGCTGGTCGCAGTGGTTCTGGGGCGGAGCTTGCTTTTCCGCTGAAGCCACACTCCCCACGACATGCTCGCCTGCCTGCCTGCCTTTATTATTACGGTTTAATGTTTTTCATTTTCCATGTTAAAAATGCTCGTGTTTAGTTTGCACCAACTGTTCAGAAAAACCCACCCATTCTAAAATCCAAATAGGATTTCATCGGAGTTACACGACAGCCTGGCAGAGGGCAAGTCGATGGAATCAATACGGTCTGCCCCAGCGTCTGTGGATCCAGCCTGCTCCATTGCTAATCACTCCTCAAGGCTCCTTGACGCCCGGCTTTATTGATTGCCTCTGAAGAATGTGGAGGGACGGTCCCCAAGGACACAGGGATGCCACTGGCAGGGGCAGAAACAGAGGCACCCTCTCCGGAGGCCTGTCCTGCTGCTGCTGCTGAGGAGGACTTCGGGCCACGGCCACCCATCGTGACCTCAAAGCTGGCCCCAGAGGTCACAGGACAGAGGCCCCAGGAGAGCATCACTTGCTCTGCCTCCGCAGAGAGATGTCCCTGTGAGCTCGGGGTGTGGAGAGATGCAGGAAGGAGCCCTCCATGGATGCTTGGGCAGGGAGGTGTCCGTGTAGATGAAG